TGATCAACCAGTGCTAGAACTGCCGTACCGCATTGCAGTTTAGCGTCTTATATATAAGTTATAAGGCAAACCTTTATTTGCAAAGGAATGAGACTGGTGTCTGTGGTGTTGAGATTAGACTCTTTGCACACAGAAAACCTGAGTTCTAGTACCGTGTAGAAATAATCTTCATCGAATATTTCGGTCTTTCTGCTTGGAGGTTGTATCTTTTTCAGCCTGGGTTGTCCCTGGCAGGCAGGGCCGAAGCAGCCGGCCTTCTAAATTATATTAACTATTTTGAGGGGTGAAATCGCCAACATTTTTCTTATGGATCACTATACCTAAATTTTAGGTATGAGTATAGAGAAAAAAGGATGTTTGGGTCGAAGAGGAGACGGAAAGGAAAACAGAAAACGAAAATGAAAGAAAAAGAGAACAAAATAAATAAAGTAGGACAACATTAACGACAAACTGCATCTCAGACCCTAGATCAGGAGACACTCAAAACTCAAATTTCTCGGGGTCGCTGGAGGTAGAATCTTGATGAGCTTGGGCTGCAGTAGGTGTTCAATAACAAAATAAATAGATAAATGAATACAGTTTTAAGTATTAACTTAATGTTATCTCGTCTTCCCAATCTTTATCCATAGACGTTCAGAACATGAATGGGTTTAGAGAAGGTGCGCGTCTCTTACTTACTCCTTGCTGCCAGAGACCTTGAGCTCCTGGCTAAAACACCTCCTGGAAAATAATGATGACCTGGATTTCCTTATCTTACATAGCGCTTACATACATGCGTCTGAAAAAAAAACTTGTGAGTCACACCAGCCTAAACTTTGTTGTCGAGCAGGAGCCTCAAAATATCGTCCTGTGGGCCTCAACTGGCCCGATGGCTGCAAGTTTAAGACACCTTACTACCTTAAAATTACAAAGTTTTTAAAAACATTTTTGGACTTTTTAAGTCACCGAGACAATAAGGTCTGAAACCAAATGTTCTATCTTCTCTATCAAAATCGCAAGATCATTCGGAGTCTTTATCAAGATATTCACAGAATCGCATTGGAAAAAGCTTGACATGTTGAGAAACCCAAAACTGTTTACGTCAAATATCTTAAAGATAGGTACTGAGCAGATAGAACTTTGTCATTCAAAAGTAGCGACCTGACCTAGGAGCTTTGAGTAACAGCAGAAGAATCAATCTCGACATAAATTTTTCTCACTCAAATGTAACTTTTTTCCGAGCTCTGAAACAGCATGCAGAAAGCACCTAATACCGGGTAACAATATTAGACGCATGGTAGTGAAAGTGTGAAGAAATAACGGAAGACAACACTAGTAAAAAAACACAGTGAAATATCAGACGTGGGTTTCTAAGTATAGAACTTCATGTGCATTACTTACAGCCCTTTCCTGATCTCCGAACTCAAGCTACGTAGAGCGATTGCAATCTCCCAATTATTATCACGACCTGTGTTATCTGTCCGTCCCTTTTTCATATGTTCCTTATCTCTAGAGAAAATGCAGGGTCGGTCAGATTTTGGGCATTTGCAAATGTGACGTGAAGAGAATAAAAAGAAAACAAACGCTTAAAAAAATTCTCAACCAAACGAAGAAAAAAAATCAAGCAAAAAAAAGCAACAACAAAAAAACAAAACGAAACAAGACCAAAAAACCTCAACTCTTTATTTTAAAAAAGAATTGTAACAGGCTGCTCGTTAGAAGGTTCCGGAACTAAGAGCAAAAGGATAAAAAAAAAATTCTTGTCTGTCCTTGTTCCTCCACAAAATCGTGTCTGCTGCACCGCACTCCCACAATAAGAAATCAGATGATGGAATGAGTTACTCGGTTGATTCAATCGTCTTCCCGGTAAAGTAATATGTGAGGCAGCGTGGTGGAATCAGGCTCTCGTCAAAATAATCAAAGAGAAGAATCTTGCATTTTTCTACAGGTTTGTGAGTTTTCGTCAAATTAAAGAATTCATTTCTGTGTGGATTTTTCTGAAAAACGTTGATTAAAGGCAAAAGAATGAAAATTTTAAATTACCACGGACTCTTAAGCTAAGGAAATAACTAATCTTTGGTGGCCATTTTATCACTAATTTTACCTCTGAAAACAGGTGACCCCCACCTCCTTCATTCGCAAATATCTCGACTTGTATTCAAGATAAATTGAACTTTTTAAAATTCAAATAAAGGCAAATGAACAAGCTTTAGGATGATACCAATACCTCCACATGCCCAAAAATTGACGAGCGCCTGATTCCACAATGATGCCTCACATATTGAGAAAGGGGCCGCTGTTCCCTTCTGCGCATGTTCGGGTTGACAAGAAAGTAACGGAATTATCCTCTGGTTTTCAGGATGATATTCCTCGCCAATTGCATTTTCCTTTCAACCTCAGGTCTAGCTCAAAAAGCGCATTATCTGCCCCTGAACTCTGTCCCCACATTTGCAGGTCGGCAGTAGATGGCGCAAATTGTTATAGGAACATGTGGTGGGGAGGTAAGAAAACATTCCGTTAAAAGGTAGGACGGTTCAAATATTTTATCATCTTCGCTCCATTAAATGTTAGATGAGATTTTTGTTTTGTAAACGGGAAAGCCTCAATGGAAGGCAGATGTATTTCTTTAGCCATGGTTTGAGGGGAAAAAAAGAGAGAGAATGGGGCCGGGGTGAGAGAGAGATTGACAGAGTGGTTGAGAGAGTGAGAGAGAGAAAGAGAGAGAGTGAGAGAGAGA